TTTACACACATGCATATTTTGAATGTATATATATATATATATATATATGTGTGTGTGTGTGTGTGATTTTACACACATGCATATTTTGAATGTATGGTGTGTGGATGTATGCATGTGCATAGATGGTTAGCATAGGAAGGGGCTGTTAGCCGACCTTCTAGTTTTGGAAAGTATAAAAAGGGAGGTTGAGCCTCCATATTTTCTCTTATTGCTTTTGTTAAAGTTGTGTGATTTAAAAGAGATGTTGACTGGATTATTTCTTGTCTGGAGATTCAAATTGATTTCAAGTATTTGATTTCAAAAGTTTGTTAAGGTGAGTGATTTCTAAACCTTTTTACATAAAATTTGTTACTGGTTTTATTTGAATGTTGATTATTATTGGAAAGAAATCATATATTTGTTTAAGGGTTTTATCCGGACAAAGGCTGACCGGATTAAGTTTAAATCGGACAAGGGTTAGACGATTAAGCCTTAAACCGACCAAGCATTAAGCGGTTTAGTTTTAAACCGGTCAAGTTTTGGACGATGTATTGTCCGGACTCTTATCCGGATAGAAATTGGAATATCTCTAAGTGTTAAATCGGTTAAGCTTTGGACGATGTATTGTCCGGATTTGTTATCCGGGCAAGAGTGTTGGAATAATTTCAAGTGTTTAATCGGACAAGTCTTGGGCGATGAGTTGCCCGGATTAGTAAATCGGACAAAAGGGACAAGTGTTGTCCGGACTTTATATCCGGATAACTTTTTATTTGGAATTTTTCATGAGTTTTATATTTTAGACTTGTTATATAGTTTAAAATATCTATTATTGAGTTTAATTATGGATTATAAAATGAGTATTTTATATCTTTCTAAATAAAAAGATATGTTCTTACCAAGCGTGGTGACGTAAGTCTGTTTTGGTTCGGAACGAGATTTTTGGGAAATGTTTCTACCAAGCGTGGTGACGTAAGTCTGTTTTGGTATGAAACTATATATTTTGGGAAACCTTCCTACCAAGCGTGGTGACATAARTCTGTTTTGGTATGGAAGTGGATTTTGTAAATTGTTTCTACCAAGCGTGGTGACGTAAATCTGTTTTGGTATGAAACTTGTTTTAAGTAATAGTTCCCCCAGACGTAGTGACTTTTGTCTGTTCTGATAAGTAGCCCTGTTTTGATGGAGGAATAAGGGTGGCATATCAAGGAGAGGTGTACTTGGAATAAGGGTGACATTGTCATATGTGGATAATATTATAACTCTTATTATTACTAATTGGATCTAATAACTTTGAATCATCATTTTTTTGTGACCTGATGAATTAAAGATATTATTTCTATTTAATAATAATTTAGATGTTATTAAGAAGGGGAAAATGGTTTGCCATATCAGGCAAGTATTGCCTTAAATCTTTTCTGTTAATATTTTTTAAAGGAATGGTCTATTAATTCAAGAAGTTTTGGTTACAATATTTGTTTCATATTGGGAACGTTGGATCTCTAATCAGAGATATTTTATAGAACTGAGGTTCTTGGGTGTACTATATTTTGCATGATATTGTGAACTGTATCATTTATTTGTACTGCAGAATTTTCTAAGCAGAATTACATTATTTTGGTGTTCATCACCCTGCATTTGCAAATAAGGGATTTACTCACTAGACCCATCTGGTCTAACCCTCATTTTCTGTTTTAAATTATGCAATGCAGGAATAGCGGGGTCCGAGAATATAAAAGGGAAAGGGAAAATGTGATTATTTTCCTAATCTGTTGTCTGCTTTTGAAGATACATGTTACATTACATGTAATAGTACATGATTTGTTTTTTGAAATTTTTATATGTAGATTTTGTACATATAGTAATCCTTGTACTAGTGGGACCTTATGATGTAAATTATATTTCTATGAAATGAAATATGTGTTATATGCAAATGTGGTGTTCGAGGGTGTTACAATGGTTTTAATACCGTTATATGAAAAATATTAACAAAAACATACATCAACATGTTTTTATCACACAAATATTATACGACTTTAATCAAATCATCCTAACAATCTCGGTCTATAACAAGAAAATGAAATAAGTTAAAAATATGACATGAAGAGCTTGTTAAGATTATGGACAAGTTTTCTAACAATGAAAAAAAAAAGTTGGTTTGGTACGAATTTATAAAGAAAAGGAGTCATGGACAAGTTTTCTAACAATGACCTTTGTTTGGTCGAAATTGGTTTAGAGGACATCTTCAACGGGACTGTAAAAATATTATTTTGTTTGATAATGAAAGCTCTAATCTACGAGTAAAAAAGGATACCATACCGAAAGTGAAAACACCATATATTTCGTGATGACGTTTAAATGACAAAAATAAAATATGATTAAAGTTTGATTTCTTTTTGGGAAATTTATAAAAATAACCGGTTTACACAACCCTTTGCCACAAAATAACCACATTTTAGAGGTTTTACTGGAATGACCACACGGATCGCCCCCGGGGGCGATCCGTACACTACGGGGGCGAGGTCAAACACGGTCAACGAGAATGAACAGTAATCTCGACTTTTGAAGAATTTTTTTAAGACTTAATGGGGGGATCGCCCCCGTAGTGTACTGATCGCCGTGTGGTCATTCCGGTAAAACCTTTAAAATGTGGTTATTTTGTAACAAAGGGTTGTGTAAACCGGTTATTTTTATAAATTTCCCTTTCTTTTTGGTGATAATAGACTATAGGTTTGATTTTTTTAAGAGTAAATTATGTTTTTCATTCATATGGTTTGTTAAAAGTTGTAACTTTTGTTATTATGGTTTTGAAATTGCGGTTTTCGATCATTGTTATTTTAGAATGAAATATACATCATAAAGACGAAAACAACAAATCGTAAACTATAATGATGAAAACAACTACATATTGTAAATTATAAGGATGAAAACAACGATAAATTGTAAATTATAGAGATCAAAATTTGTGATTTCTAAAATATGAGAATGAAAATAGCAATTTTCATGAAAAAAGTAATGTACTTGGACATGTTTGTTAACAACTTAATAAGTTTAATGAGAGTCACAACTTATCCAGTCGGCTTATTACTGTTTAGTAGTGATTTAATGATATATAAATCGTCTTATTCAGTAAGCTTTTAGAGGGAGCTTTAAGCAAGAAACCGAGCTTTTTTCAAACTTACCCCGTCCAATTAAAACACTTTCCTCCCATCTATGAGAAAACCCTCCCAAAACAGATTAATTCATACAAACAACCTAGATTAATTTATACTGACAACTTTATTCGTATAAGACTTTAGGGGCCGTTTACCAAACGCTTACCCGGGTAAATGCTTATTGGCAAAATTCAACGTTATGATTTACTTATCGGGTAAGATTTTTGTCTACTAAAACAGTATCGTATGCAACAATTTACCCAATTTATGCTAACCGTGATAAAAAATCATCACCTATACTTACCAATAAAACTCTTGATCCTTGTCTGTCGGACAAGATTAACAGTCCTTTCCAATAATCCGCGCTTTTTAACTTGTTTACCAGGATCATCCAACCAAAATCTAACTTTTTTATGCTATGGTTTTAGACACTCCCACTGCCCGCCCGCAAAATCACCTTCTATCCAAAACAATGGTGAATTAAGACCAGGGTTAGCTATGGCTCTTCTTCCTGTGTTCCGCCATTTTCTCACACACTTGAATAATCACACATCAAAACCCAGAACCGCCATAGCTATAGTCCGTACTCTTAAAACCCTATCTCCTCTTTTCCTCTTTTCTTCTCCGCTTAAACCCATCTCCTTCTCAAACCCCCCTCATTTCTCCTCCACAGGTATGTATCATGTCTTCATTCACAATCTCTTTTTTTTTTTTTTTCCGCAAAAGATTCTATTTTTACCAATACCCTTTATTGTAATTCGACTATCTCCTGATTCCAGCAAATACCTTAGTCTTGAATACTTCCAATTTTCTCGTGGGTGTGCAAATAGATTGATTTTTCTAATACCCTTTATAATGATTTGTCTTCTGTTCTCTCTCGATTGAAACTGAGGTACTTTTGTGTTGAATTCTGGCATCTTTCTTCAGAAAATTACAGTGCAACTCAATTTGAAGTTGACAAAGCAATCCGTTTGAAATCCATAATAAAAAACATGGAACAGGAGAAGGGGATTAATTTATAGTTTCTAGATTCGTGCTCGTGTGAGTGTATACGATTATAGGGAAAAAATTGCGTTTCTCTAGTACTTTTCATGATAAACTGTGTCTTCTATTTATCATTTGCAGAGAACAGTTTAATATTGAAGAAAGATGAGCGGGTCGGGTTGAGTTCAGAGGGCTTAAATCCATCAGACCGGGATGTGAATTCAAGTAGTACAATTGCTGCCATTGTCACTTCTTTGGGTGGGCAGGCGAGTGCGGTGGGTATTATAAGGTTATCTGGTCCTTCAGCTGTCGATATAGCTGGCCGTGTTTTTCAACCCTCAAAGAGAAGGAAAAAGGACTTTTCTTGGCAGCCTACAAGTCATGTCGTAGAATATGGTGTTGTCTGTGATTGTCATGGCAATATTGTTGACGAGGTTAAATGAATTAATTTCGTTTCTTTTCTTTCTAAGTTGGGTTTTCTTGACGGATTTGTATGGTGGAAAGCTTTTGACAAAGCTCAAACTCAATTTGTATCGTCTGCTTATAAGTGATTCCCCCTAAAAAACTCAAATTTGATTATGGGATTTTGTTCTTTTGCAGGTTCTAGTGGTACCCATGTTAGCACCAAGATCATACACCCGAGAAGATGTGGTTGAGCTACAATGTCATGGGAGTGACGTTTGTCTACATCGTGTGCTAAGAGCTTGTCTAGAAGCTGGGGCAAGGCTTGCAGAACCAGGTTGAGTTAATAATTTTACAAGTTTTCTAGAAGTTAATGATATGTATTCATGAAACAGCAACTTGTGTACAAGGGTATGATGATGCCAATGTTTCCATTATCAAGTTAGGTTCATATCAATCTTTTGACCCAAGCTACATATAAAAACCAAACCAAATGAACCCAAAAAACCCCATAGAAGTAGGGTCTGAGAGGGGTACGATGTACGCAGACTTTACCTCCCCCACGTGGAGTAGAGAGGATATTTCCATGAAGACAACCAAGTTACAATAAGGTTCATGAAAGATAAGCAGAAACAATTTAGGGTCTGTTTGTTAGCAGCTTAATGGCACTCACAAGTTATTCGGTCAGCTATACATGCTTTTGGTAGTGGCTTAATGATATAGAAAGTGCCTTATTCAGTAAGCTTCTAGGGGGGAGCTTTATGCAGAAAGCCATGTTTTTTTTCCAAACTTGCCCCTTCCAATTAAAGAACACGCTCCTTCCGTCTATGAAACACCCCCCTCAAAACAAAAACCTTCCCTGTCTATACAGATAGATTAATCCACACAGACAACATTATCCATACAAGAATTAATGGAAAAAGAACTAAACAGCCCCTTAATGGGTTATGCTAAGCTAGGCATGAAAGAAAAGCTAGGGTAGCAGAGGAAATCACGGACCCTAAGGATAATATATTAAACTAGAGTGCCAGATCACCATCAACATCTCCAATTAGCTTTGTCTGGGAGTTAAAATATGGTTTTTTGATTCTTAATTGTATCAGGTGAATTCACCCTTCGTGCTTTCCTAAACGGTCGGTTGGACCTCTCTCAAGCAGAAGATGTCGGAAAACTCGTTTCAGCCAAGTCTGTGGCTGCTGCCGATGCTGCATTGGCAGGAATTCAGGCAACCTGTTTCATCTAGAGTTCAATTTTTCGTGTCAGTTTTTTAGCAGCTAATAGCAAGTTAATAATCAAAATAAAACTTCTTATGGCAGGGTGGTTTCTCTTCATTGGTCAAATCGCTAAGAGCACAATGCATGGAGTTGCTTACTGAGATAGAAGCTCGATTAGATTTTGACGATGAAATGCCGCCACTAAATATGGATCTAATACTGAGTAAAATACATGCAATGTCACATGATGTGGAGAGTGCAATGGAAACTGCTAACTATGACAAATTTTTACAATCGGGATTACAGGTATGTTCTGACACGCCTTCAAGAGTTCTCACATCTTATTGTAGATGGTCAAATAGTCAATATACAATCTTTGAAATAAATTACAACACATTAAACAAGCTATTGTTAGATATTGAAGAAACAATGGGGCATGCCAAATCATACTTTCGTTTTTTGATTAACCTGGATATCCAACCCGCTATGCGAGCAGACTAATCTCAGGGCGACCACCTGCTTTGCACGTAGCCCGGAGTCACCGCATTTGAACCTCCGTGGCCACAAGGGGAATTTTGTTCCTCCTTGGATTTGAACCTGGGACATCCTGACACTTTTGACCTTTGGAGCCAAACTCAAACCAATCAGGCACCACCCTCGTGGTTAGCCAAATCATACTTACTCTCTTCCATGAAAATTACAACATTTTTCTTTATGGGATATCCAATTAACATGAAACACTTCTTTTTTTGGGGCAAACTTATGCTTTCATGTTTCTTGCATCTACTTCTGTTTTTATGTCGTTGCTTACTTATAACTATTTGTCAGCAACTTAAGGAGCTTAATGGGACATGCAGCTTATTCGGTCAACTATACATGACTGTTTGTTAGTGGCTTAATGATATAGAAAATGGCTTGTTTAGTAAGCTTTTAGCGCTGAGCTTTATGCAGAAAGCCAAGTTTTTAGTCAAATCTGCCCCTCCTAATTAAAAATTAAAAGACTCACTCCTTCCATTTATGAAAAAACCCTCCCAAAACAAAACCAACGCAATCTATACAGACAGATTAACCCATACATACAGCTTTATCCATACAGGACTTGATGAAAAACCAACCAAACAACCTCTTAAATTTTTTTCTTCAAAATTTAGCGTATATTCTTTTTTCTCAAGTTCTTTTTCGAAGTCTTCTTTGTTCTAATTCCTCAAACTTTTTGGCGAACTTTCTCTTTTTCACAAACTTTAGCTTCTTATATAAAAAATAGAAAAACATAGAATATTAGATCAAGAAAGCTTCTATTTGACCATGTAAAAGTCAAAACAACATCCTTCAACATTTCAAAGCCCGCACTTGAGTTTTCTTTTGATTTTTAGGGGTTCCAACAAAATCACTCTCGTTTTTGGCCCTTCGTTCTCGATGGTCCTTGGTTGATGAAGTTTCTAACGTCTTATATATAATTTTAGACTTTTTAACAAAAGATTCTCACCTATACATGCTATTTACAGATAGCCATTATTGGTCGGCCAAATGTCGGGAAATCTAGTCTGCTCAACTCATGGAGTAAGGTATGCCCTTACTAATTACACAACTTTCTTCTACAATTAAAAGTAAACACATTTAATCACCGTTGCAGATTATTAATTTTGTTACATTATCATCAAGAAACAAAATTTTTGTTCCTTAATTATGATACATATTTTATTGGCTCTCTCATTGAGCATTTATGATTTAGCTTTCAGAGTGAAAGGGCAATAGTTACAGACATTGCTGGAACAACACGGGATGTCGTGGAAGCCAATGTGACGGTTCACGGCATCCCGGTGACGTTACTTGATACAGCTGGGATCAGAGAAACTGATGATATCGTGGAGAAGATAGGTGAGACCATCCTTTATTTATAAATGAAAGCATTCCTCCTTTGCTTATATGCTTGTTTTTGTTGGAATAGTTTATAATGATTCACATATATGTATATATAGGTGTTGAGAGATCAGAAGCTGTTGCTATGGGTGCTGATGTTGTTATCATGGCGGTTAGTGCCGTTGATGGATGGACCATGGAGGATGCCCAACTGCTCGATAGAATAAAACGCACTAAGGTCTCACAACTTCTTTTCCTTTTTGCTACTATAATTGTAGGATATCCGCTTGTGTATTTCTTTTCACACTGTTTATTTCTAATCTAACATCAATGTCGAAAAAGTTTCAAGTGGTGACACCATCTGACCATAAAGGTGAAAGCTTGAATTGGACATTCTCCACAAAATTGTAACATCCCATTCCCGGGGGTATAGTCCTTTGCCCTTAGTACAAGTGAATGAAAGAAACTTTATATCTTAAACTTTTGTTTAATTATAATAGAGTTATTACAGCAACGGAAATGCGGAAATTTACAACTTATAATATTCTACTATCTTAGAATAGCAACACTCCAGCTTGTTTCTACTCCTTGATTCCTGAGATACATACATGAATACGTAAGCTTTAAACTTAGTGAGTAGTTATGGTTTCATGATAAAACATTCTTTCCAAATAGTTAAAATAATTCTTATAAAATTTTCATGTATAAAACATTTCTTTTAGATCTCATGGTTACATGTTAAGTAAACCAACTTCTCGCAGGTTCTTTAACCTCGGGTCCACATAAGGGCTGCCCAATAAGGTCCGTTTGGAAGACGTACCTTCTTTCTATATCCCGTACGTTGGATGTTTAAATGGTTATACTTAACATGTATAAAAACTTTCATATACCACATGTGCATCATGACATAAAAGGTGTACTTTGGCACATAATTGTAACATAACGTTTACAAGAAGATATGGCAATACTCTTTCATGCATACATAAAACATTTATATATATGGCAATACTCTTTCATGTATCCCAGTAAATCTCATAACGTACTCACCTTGATTATGCCTCCCTTTTCCCTTAATTCCTATCTTCAAGCTTGATTAGGTATAAAGAGGGATTTCTTATTTCTGTTATGGAACTAATGGTAACACTTCAATTACTATTTATAGGTAAATTCATTGCATTAGCTACTTGTTTTTCTTGCTCCCAAAATTGTATTCTTATGATAGTTAAACACCTCATTTTAGAGGATAAGAGAATTTTGACACCTCATGCTTAATATAAAAGAATCTTGACACCTCTTGCTTCTAGCTTTTATTTGTCATGCTTTTAGCTCTTGCTTGTCATCATGAATTTTGCCAACACATGCTTTTAGCCTTGACAACTCATAACTAGCTTGCTTTGTCATAAGATTTTTGTGGCTCATGTTGTTTGTTTATAAGTAGCTTTGTAAGCTACTTGCCTTATAAATATGATAGTTTAATAAATGCTACAGCTGTTGGACTTTTTTAAGAGTTCTTAATTTACTTACAAAATCTTGTATTTAAAACTTAAACATTGAGATTTAGCAAATAAAAAAACTAGGGTGTTACAATTATCGTAATAGATTAGTTGGTTCGACCCCTCTCACCGCTGCTTTCTTCCAAAATGTTCACAAAAAATGGGAAATTTGCTAAAAGGGATTTCGCTCAACGTTCAACTGTAAATGTATGATTTTTGTTTGGTGACTGTAAAAAAAACAGTCTTGCACCAAATTAACTAACACCCTTGATTTTTTTATTTTTTTTGCGACAATAGGCCGCCTCTGGATCGCCAGTGATTTTGGCGATCAACAAGATCGATTGCGCCCCATCTGCATGCTCCGAGTTTGCCAACACTGTAGATGACCAATCTTTTAGTAAGCGTATTCATACGTGCGCTATAACAGGTGAAGGAATTTCGGATTTGGAGACTGCAATTCTTGAGCTCGTTGGCCTCGAAAACATTCCTGCAGGTGGACGAAAGTGGGCTGTGAACCAGGTTCGATAATATTATTTCTTGACAGGATTAGTTAATAATGAGTTTTCCTCCAAACTAGCACTTTGTAGCAAGAAAAATGAAGAAAGTAGCACATTTTTGGTGGGTTTTAAAGAAATAGTGCCTAATTTCGCCAATCAATTCTGCCAATCAATTCTGCCAATCGGTGGAATCCACTTTTTCTCGGTTGGTGGGCCTAAATCAGCAGAAAAATCAAATAGGTGAAGCATCTGAAAATAAAATTTTTTGCCAATTTTTGGGAAGGGAAATTGCTCAAAATAGCCATTTCAGCCTTGTATATATCAACTCTTGGTCATTTCTCGGCCAAATTTTCAAAAATTTCACTGCCTTCGCAAGTAGTAACTCCTCGACTTGCTGAGAGGTCAAAGTCTAATAAAAAGAAGTTTCTGAACATGGTCCATAAGTAGAGGGACCAAATTTGTAAATTGCAAGACCATGTTCATAAACTTTATTTATTTATTTATTAATATTTTGACCCCTCTGCAAGTTAAGGAGTTGCTACTTAAAGTAGTGACATTTTGTTAGAGAAATGGGTAAGAGGTAAATTTGTCCGGTAGAAATGGTTAGTTAAGCAATTTCCCTTTACGGAGTACATGTGTCGAAGTCTGAGTGGTTATGACGGAATTGGATGGTATTCTTTAAAATTTCACTTTTCTTGCTAGAATGGAGCCTTCTTTGATATGATGATAATATTTGACTGATTTGATGAATATTGTATTTTAGAGACAATGTGAGCAACTTCTTCGAACAAAGGAGTCTTTAACGAGGTTGAAGTCATCGATAGAGGATGATCTTCCGTTTGATTTTTGGACGATAGATTTGAGGGACGCCGCACTTGCACTTGGCCAAATAAATGGAGAAGATATATCCGAAGAGGTTTTGACTAATATTTTTGCCAAATTCTGCATCGGAAAGTAGCGACATATTGGATTATGGTGTCGTTTTACAAAGCGTTAGCCGTGACATTTGGGATTAAAGGGTGGTGGTTGTGCACCAAGTCATCTACGTTGTAGTTATTATTTTACTGTGAAGGGTGCCATGATCTTTAATACATAATCGATGTATTAATAGAAAACATAGTGAATTAAGATTCAAACGTTACCTTTCCTTTTGTTAGGTTTGCCAATATAAAAAAAGAGGAGACATTTCTTTTTATTATAGAGTAAAGGGAAAAGTTCAAAAAAACCCAATGGACTTTACTGTTTGGAACGATTAAATCATTGGACAATTTTTTGGAACAAATAAACCCTTGGACTTTTTAAAACCTGTTAAATAAGTTCTTGGACTTTACAAAACCTGTTAAATAAGTCCTTGGACTTTCTAAAATATGTTAAATACATTTTGTTAGTGACAAAGGTATGAAAAAACAATGGATTTTCATATTTTGAACGATCAAGTTTATAAATATTTTTTGAACGAAAAAAGTATTTACATTAAAAAAACAAATATACCATTCTCATTACTAATCGTAAAATATACAAAAGTTGTATCCAAAGCATAATAATCTGCATACACATTTTGGACATAATTTTACCAAAAGTTAAACGAAAATATATACCAAAAGTTGAATCAAAGTATGTAACAAAAGTTGAACCAAAGTATGTAACAAAAGTTGAACCAAAGTATGTAACAAAAGTTGCGCAAAGAAAATACTAACAATTGCGCCAAATATACCAAAAGTTGCGCCAAAAAATACCAACAATTGCGCCAAATATACCAAAAGTTACGCCAAAATATACCAAAAGTTGCGCTAAAATATACCAAAGTCCAAGGGTTTATTTGTTCCAAAAAATTGTCCAATGGTTTAATCGTTCCAAACAGTAAAGTCCATTGGGTTTTTTTGAACTTTTCCCTAGAGTAAATTACAGATGTCGTCCATGTGGTGTGGTTATATCAAAGTTATGGATTATGTTCCCAAAGAAATAATTCAGAGTTATATTTCAGATAATTTTTTCAAGATTATAAGTCTGAAGTAGCATCGCATTTTCGATGATCATTCGTATATGTAAGATAAATTTCTTGACATGATTTAATTTCTTAAAATTACCCCGTGTAATACACGGGATCAAACCTATTATAGTAAATATAATAATAAAATGAGAAAACTTCGCATGATAAATATAAACGCGTCATGTGTTTCTCTTTAGGATAAATATTATCATGAATAACACATTCGTACGAAAGTGTTTTTCATTATAAATCACACATTCATAATGAATATGTTACAATATTCATGATGAATATGCAAAGTGTCGCTTTGTGGGTGATTTTCGGGTTCCTAATCAATTTTAGATCTCTAACGAAACCTACCCCTGTATATATCTTTTTTTAGAAAGCATATATTTTAATAGAGATTTGTAGTTTATAAAAGAATTACTTAAAGATATGTAGTTTATAAAATAATTACATTATCAACATTACATATTAAAACATACATTTCCCAAACTAAAATCTATAACAAAATAAGTTGCATTTAATCACTCTAAAATATTAAACAATACAATAAGGGAAAGAGGTTGGGCTTATGATAAACAAAAAGTTAAAATGAAGTAATTGATTTTTCCGACTCAAAAATTACTAAATTTTATTAATGAGTCCAAATCGACAGATAATGTTCATAGAGAAAGTAAGAAAACTCCGCATATCATAATAAAGTGTGAGACAAGATGATAAATGAGATTTATAAGTCAATGAGTGAACAACCCCATTAGCTTGTCGGCAAACAAAGTAGACAAATAAGAGTCTTGTTGAATGATACTACATCTTGAGATAATATTCCTAAACTCAGATGCATCGTCCCCTGAAGCATGGCTGACATCTACAACCTGTTTAGCGTTTGATTTAAAGACTACCATTTGAACCTCGAGTTTTACCCAGAAGATAACTTCAACAAGGGAAAGAGCTCGACATTCCTTGACTAGCGGGACCCCACCTACATTATGTGTTTGAACAACTACAAAATTCTCATTATCACCACGAGTCATAACGACGACTCTTGCACAAACATATGCTCTATGATTGCAGCATTTGTGTTGCAGTTCAGGATGTTCAAAAGGAGACGTATGTCATTATGCTCAAGGGGTAGGACTCATGTTCAAGTCTCGATAAGCCTTCAAATATTTTGCCTTCTTCCAATCACCAGAGTCTCCAAGATGTTTTGCAACGTTTGAGTAGAGGAAGTAACATTTTTATTTTGCCATAGTTTTGCATTTCTATGGCTTCAAATGCTCCACATAATCGTAAGCAATTTTGCGATAATTATTGTAGAGTTTGAGGATAGAACAAAGAAGTAATGTTATGTAACGCCCATAATTTCCTAAAAACAGTCGAAGAACGGCTGAGGAAACGTTCGGTGGATGGCCAGGAGAACGGTTAGGAAACAATTCAAAGCGACACTTGGCCCGCAACCTATAGGCATGACTAAGACCATGAAACTCACTAGATTCGAAGCCCGTGGAGACACACGCGACTTTCCGCACGACCTGAAGTCGCGGGCAAGGCCGCAGGGATGGACTCAGACGTTTTTGAAGTATGATTTTTCTCACTTTTCTTCTCATTTCATCTCCTACTCGATCTCTCCTCTACTTCTTCCCTCTCTAGGATCTGGATTTTTGGGAGCCTCACGATTCGATTTTAAGGATCATTGGAAGCTTCTCTTGATGATTTAGAGCTATCAAGTTGAGAGGTAAGATCTAATATCCATCCTTTGATCTAGGATTTGGTTCTTCTCACCCTTAAACCTCCATCTCTTAATTGATGATATATTTGTTGAGGTTTGATGTAGATGAAGTGTTATGAGAGTTTGGCATCATAGATCTAAAGTCTTCATCCTATGGAATTTTGCGGGCAAAGGGGGCTCCATACGGGAAAACTCGGCCACAATTCTAGGAAACCTCGCTGCATGCGGATAAATCAGATTTTGGAACTTAGGTTTAATTTAACCTGGCAAGGTGAGTTCAAGTTGCTTGAAAACTATGCACATGCCGTAATGTGTATTTTGAAGTATTAAATATTCTTTACTTGATATTTATCAAATGTGCTAAGTATTTGACAAAGTTCGTACATTTGGTAAATTGGGGTTAATAAATCTTATGAAATGCGTATATTTGGGTTTTTGGATATTTTGATAAATAAATCTCAAGAATGTGTACTATTGGTGATTTATTGTACAAATAGAGATTATTTAATATTAATGCATTTTGGTGTAATTGGTTTTCTAAACCGCTTGGAAAATGTATGTTATTGTATTATGAGGCATTTTGGAAATATACGAGATATGATTTCATTTGGAAAATGGTTTGTCTCAACCAATGATAGGTTTTTAAATTAATCATGCATTTGGAGCATGTATTTGCATCAAAGTTAGTTAAATAGGTTTATTCCTTTTGTTGACTTTTATTGTAGTCAATGGATTTGTTGAGCTTACAGCTCGATTTTAACTTAAATGAGTCTTGGAGAGATTTGTCCGGGTTTGTTTTGCTCTATGTTGTGCTTTTAGATTTTATATGTGGTTATGACATATTGATTGTAAACTACTTGTTTTGAGTGCGTTGATCATTCAGTTGAAGTGATGTAATTTAGACTGTAATGTAATGGATCCATAAGCATAGGAGTCTGTTTGGAATGTGATAGTTATCTATAACACCCCAAATCCATATTTGCATAAACTCCACATATTTCATATAATATGAAATACACATATACACATTGGTTTCAATATACAAATTGCTACATATAAAAGTAGCTATAAATTTTTCGTTCACACCAAGGACATGACTTGTATACAACACATTTGCAAGTACATGAACCTATCCAGCTTATCAAAATCCACATATGTAAAGCAATCATAATCCCCCTTCACATCTTCTCTTTCCTTTTACCTTCAACCGATGTCCGTCCTGTAATGCATATTTTTAAACATAAAATGAAGGTTAGACCACAATGGTTAGACTACAAGGTCTAGTGAGTAGTTCCCTTATTTGCAATTATAGGGTGAAAATCACTAATCGTTTTTTGGAAAACCCTTCATCAAAGATATCATAAAAATAAGATTTATTTTAACAAACCTTCTTTTGTCGCATCATAGAGATGAGACAACCCCATTTTATTGCATTGAACAACATAATAAACAATTTATCGCATCAAACTCATAATACACCAATTATCACATCAAACGTATATATGAGCACATTTTGTTGCATCCAACTAATGCGATAAACCCAACTCGTCACACAATATGGATGCAATAAGCACACTTGTTGCACCCCCAGAATGCGATGAACACAACTTCTCGCATCACGCAGATACGATAACTTCCCTTTGTCGCGCCACACTGATGCGATAACCCCATTTTTGTCGCATCACACTGATGTGATAAGCCAATTTCCTCGCATCACCAGGATCCGATAAACCATCTCCTCGCACCCCAAGGACGCGATAAACCACTTTGTTGCATCACACTGATGCGATCACCTCAACTCATTGCATCATATTGATGCGATAATAGTATCCCATGATCAAGGATCATCATTTCCAGAAATTGATTATGTCACCTTTATCCCAGTATACCCAACTCCTGATTATGCCACATTTATTACAAAAAATATACCCAACTCCTGATTATGTCACCCTAACTACCAAATAATACCCAACTCCTGTTTATGCCACCTTTATCACCAAATAATACCCAGCTCCTGATTATGACACCCTTATTACCAAATAATACCCAACTCCTGATTATACTACTTTTATTACAAACAAATGATAATAATGCATCAAAACCCAAGATTTTGCTAATAAATAGCATATAATTATATTCATAACACCTCACGTATGGAACCTTATTAAAGCAAATCGAATGATGCTTTGAATATAAAAACTCACCTTGTAACACAAAGAGATGAAGACTTAAACAACAACGAAAATCTGATGAAATCACGTATCAAATCTTCTTCTCTTCCTTCTGTTTTTCTTCGAACTAGAGAACAAAACTACCAACTTTTTACCCTTCTTATCACTTTAAAAGTAAAAGAAAACATATAATGCTTTTTAAATAAGAGACGATGTATAGTTGAGATATTTTAAACCATTTTTTCAGAACAACCCCTTAACTTTCAATACTTATCAAAAAGCAACCCCAAAACTTTATAACCACAAACCCGACTATCACATTATCCCTGTAATTATATCTAGAAACTCGGATCAACAAAAGACTCAAAGTAAAGACTTGGATAGAGTTGAACTTGATGACTGTGTAATCCATGGTGGGGGACTCAAGGTAAAGACTTGGATATAGTTGAACTTGATAATCGAGTAGTCTGTAGGGGCTATCATTTCTAGTGAACGAGCTTAACTTGGATTCAAGAGTTCTCAATGTAAAGACTCGAATAAAGTTGAACTGGGTGACTTCCCAAGCGAAAGACTTGGATAGAGTTGAGCTTGTTAACCCATTTGACTAAAAACTCGGGTAAGGTTGATGTCAATGTTTATTTATCTATATGCGATGCTTATATATAACATTGAATTTTTGCTTACTTATGTGTTCGGTCACAACTAATGGTAAAATGGGTCTCTCTCGCCATCTTATGATGTCTTACACCCTTCCAAGAGTAAAGATGATTTAACTATGTGAGTGTTGGGTTTTGATTGCGTAAAAATGGGCATTTTGATTAATATTTTTTCATCAAGAAAAATGGTGGGTCTCGGAAAGATTACGATAAAGATATTTCATTCATGAAATTATGGCTTAAACCAACAGTCTTTCATTTTTGATGTTTTATGATTATGATGAAAACTGTTTGAATTCACTAGGAATTAAGTCTGACTCTTTTTATTTATCAGCATGTGCATCAAGTCCTTATTGGGGAATGATACTAGCATCATCGTGAAGAATTGAGTGCTAATTAGATGCATGCAAAGGAAATAGCTATCCGAGGGACATCCTTAATATGTTGGAGGTGGCAACAAGTTATTGGGTTTTAGTAACGCCCGTCCCTAATTATAGACTTGTGTAAGGTTGAAATATTATGTTTTAAAATTAAATTCTAGATTGGCATTGTAGATAATCAACTAATGACTTTTAGAAAGAGATTTAATTCTTAATTTGGTGTATTTTTATTGGACATTTTAAATTAGTCGCTTTCTCTAAATTTGATAATGTTACATGTTATGGAAAGTCTCGAGTTTTACCCACATTGACTCCCATATACCAACCTCTCTCCAAACCTACCTAGTGAATAGGCAATCAACAAACACATGCCATGTGCATTTAAATTTTCCAAATTAGAGTCACAAATGATACAGTTGCAACGCACCATAACCCCACGACATTGCAGATTAACCCTATCGAGTAACATGCCACGAACCGCTATGCAAAACTTCTAACTTCATGAGAATTATCTACGTTCCAGATCTTCATTTAATTTCCTTCCACAAAATGTTAGAGTTAGGCTTCAACACCTCTCTAGCAAGAGATAACAACTTTTGACGGAATAAACTCCATAGGACTTTCATGCCATACAGTTTTATCCACAATATTTCTCCTTGGTGGCTAATTATTAATCTCCTTTACACCTCTAGGTCAGAATAATTTCTCAATATTCCTCAAAAGTCTCCGCAAGAGTAATACTTAGCCTTGAAAACTCTACTTAACACACAGATCCACCCTGCCCCCTATATACGTACATGTATATATGTATGTATATACATAAGGGAGGGGGTTGGGTTCACGTGAGACCAACATGTTTTTGTGAGACCCATGAGACCATTTTCTTACATTTGAAACAAAACGTTGTGAAGGTAAAAAAACCCAAACCTTCACATCAAAAACATTGTGAAGGTTACCTTCACAGCAAAAACACTGTGAAGTGAAGGTTACCTTCACAGCGTTTTGCTGTGAAGTTTCAAGTATAAAAAAATGGTCTCACGGGTCTCATGAAAACATGTTGATCTCACATTATCCCAAGTCTAGAAGAGGGATATTTTGCAAACTAAGTCATTTGTACAAACCGTGAAACCCTCGATTTCATTGTTTATTTTAGAGAATTTTTTTATGAGATTGTTAATATGATGAAATTATTTCAAATAATTCATTTTTTTTGATGAAAATATTTCATATATTTTTGTTTCTATGTAAAATTAAATTGTTTCATGTATTTCTCATTTTGATGAAATTTGTTTACTAAAATTAAGAGAATGAAGATTATAATGTCCATAATTATTTGAGAAATACAGGAAACAATTTAATTTTTACATAGAAACAAAAATATATGAAACAATTTCATCAAAAAATGAATTATTTGAAACAATTTCATCATATTAACAATTTCATGAAAAATTTTCAATAAAATAAACAATCAAATTGACCGTTTTCATGGTTTGTGAGCAGTTTTCAAATTTCCTATAATTTGAGAAATATGTGAAGATACCTCTATATTGTGTGAAGATTCTATTATTTGAAGGTTGTGACCTTCTCATGACCTAAATTCCAGAATACATGACCTTCACATTATATATGGTTATCTTTACAGGCTCGATGGCAATTAAACGATATGAAGAAATCTTCCCATTTTTCATGGAACCCAACTCTATATATATGCACGTGAATAATATTTTTAAACAAACACACAATAAATTTAAAGGTTCATGGTTATCAAATATTATATTATAACTTTTTTGAAGTTTACATATCTGATTTTTAATTACTGAAAAGCTATTAAAAACAAAAATGTATGCGGACTTCGTCACACCGATTAAATAGTCGTGTCATTATAGCTTGATCATCTTTTTTAGTTAACTGTGGATTTTCAAGGCAGTTTATGCACATCAAATAATCCCTTAAAGTGACCATGAATGACTTGCAGTCATCATAAGTGAACCTCCACGTCTACACAAATTTAACATTGTCTGGATCGAATCCGTGGTAGATGTAATTTTCCACTACATCCCTGTATACAAAAATGGTTATAATGTGCAAAAGGTTTGCAACAGCAGCATACAGGCTGGCCATCCCAAAAGACAAATCAACGTACGGGTTGACTATCTCAAAAGTATCATGTAAAAGATAAATCAAACATACATTAGATGGTTTGAATGTTGGTTTAAAAGTCCCGCAGAACAGTGCAAGATCATCATTGCGAAACCAAATGTCCTACATTCTTCTAATGCAATGATTATAATGTTGAATCACATGAATAATAACTTTGGAACTATTTCATAAAACACACATACACAATACATACAGATTATGTATATACATACATAAAAATGCATGTATATATATTTGAAAGACTCCGGATCATATAAACATGGATTCAAACCCCATTAAGATCTTCTGTATCTGTTAAGCCAGTCTTATGATGAAGATTCTGAAATAATGGCAGCTGGCTTTTTGGGTACCAATGGATGCTTGTCTTTTTTCTCATCTTGATTCATCTGTTCTTGTCTGCACTCGGAGCTACAAAATGCGCTATCACCTCTGCAAAAAAAATTCAATTTTTAATACTTTTTTAACTCTAAAATCTCATTAAAAAATGTGTTATTATCAAAGAACAATCGACAATTAATTGAACTTAGTAACGAAATTGAGATTGTACCTATACATGAAGATATCACGGCCGGTGATCAAACGGCGGTTGCAGAGGTGACAAACGGTCAAGAAATGGGCTGATTCCATATGGTCAGCTGAATTCCGGCGGTGGTTCCTCGGAGAAATGGTGGGTGTGAAGAACCGATGATCAAGATTAGCATCTGGAGATGGGTTCATAGTAAACGGGTTGTTTGGATCATACGGTGGTTGAGAGTTGGCATGACCACCACCAACGGCGGTGCGATTGAGATCCAAGGTGACCTCCGTCATGCTGGTGGTTCTCTTGATCGGAGGCCGAGGTCTTTTACCCAAGATCATCTCCACTTCTCTCTCCCTATCTAATTCTAACTTATCTATGTTGCTAGAAAGAAAGAGGAGAGAGAGACGGTGGTTGGAGAGAGAGAGGAGGAGGAGGAGTGAGAGTGTGGGAGAAGATGAGAAGATAACAAGGGGAGCCAGAAAGCAAGCGGGAGAATCTGGGCCGTTGATTTTAGTTTAAGATTCTATGCAATTATGGCAACTATACCCTTTTATGATTCAAAGAGTCAAGCATAATAATATAATACTCGCTTTCAATGTAAAATTAAAATCGCCAGTTTGCATAACATTTTATTAAAATAATAAAAAATTGTATTTATCTCCCATGTGGGTTTTCCATTTTTTAGAGTCTGGTTTTAATGGTTTAACTCTTTAGACTATAAATCAAAGTAAAATAGCACTTTTCAAATTGAATGATTTAACTAGCAAGTGATTAAATCAGACCACAAACACCTTCCTATTAATCTGGATATTCAACTCGTTATGCGAGTTGACTAATCTCAAGATGGCCACCTGTTTTGCAGATAGCCCGAAGTCATCGCATTTAAACCTCCAAGATCACAAGAGATTTTTATTTCTCAAAGCACTCAGATACCACCTTTGTGGTTAAAAAAAGCATTTGTTATTATTAGGTATGGTAATGAAGAGGGATCTTAATTCCCATCCCCAATCCCCCATCTTTGTCCCCGTCCCCATCCCCATCCCCATCCCCACCGGGGAAATGAGATTTTCTTTTATAGTTTATATAAGTTTTTTTAACTTTAATGTGTGAGACGCTACACATGTTTAAATCTTATATTTTTCCAGTAAACCTAAAATCAAAAAGAATTTAATTTAGTACAAAAACTATATATCATCATATAATAATTAATAAATTGAAAACCAAAAGAAATCAAATTTAATCTAAAAAAATTAACATCACATGTGCCAAAAACATATTGAGTAATATCAAAAACCATATTTAGTAATATCCAAAATATATTGAATTAGAAATTACCATTTACCGATTTAATATAAATAAATAATATAACTTATTAATATATATATATATATATATATATATATATAGGGTTTATTTCAAATACAACTTATCGCATTTGTACAACCAATGCAACACAATAAATTGAAATATTTATTGAAATGGTTAGAGTTCATTTATTATGATTTAAATATTTATGGAAGATGAATACGTTCCGTTAATTATGATTAATACTTTATATTAGGAAATAATAAAAATCTTTATAAAATCACATATTAATCAAATGAAATGAACGGTTGAGATTATGTTGTATAGGTTGCACAAATGACCAGGGTTGTATAATAACCAACCTCTCTCTCTCTCTATATATAGTTTGGTTCAAATACAACTCATCATATTTGTACAACCAATGCAACCCAATGTATTGAGATATTTATGGAAATGATGAGAGTTCATTTATTATGATTTGAATATTTATGGAAGATGAATATGATTCAATAATTATGATCGATACTTTATATTAGAAAACAATAAAAACTTCTATGAAATCACATATTAATCAAATGAAATGGACGGTTGAGATTGAGTTGTATTTGTTGCACAAATGTCAAGGGTTGTATATACGGTTACGGAACGGGGGCTGCGATACCCATCCCCGTCCCCCATCTCCGACTTGAGCCAAACGGGGATCCTCGTCCCCATCCCCGAGACCCGGTGTAACGGAGAGTCCTCGTCCCTAACCGGGATGGGTGGACCGGGTTCCCCGACGGGTCGGGATCAATTCCCATGCCTAATTAGGTAGTTTGGACCAATTATGGGTTTTACTAGGAAATCATAATATATATTTAATATGAAATTCTACCGGTATAACATTATTTAAAATATATTACAACAAATTACAAAAAGAAACATTTATCTCATATATATATATATATATATATATATATAACATTATTTAAAATATATTACAACAAATTACAAAAGAAACATTGAAAAATTAGAAATAATTGCAGAATTATATAAATTAAAAATAAATAATCTAGAAGAAAACATTACAGGCATAAATAAAATAATAAATAGCTTAACAGAAAGAATAGAAGATTTAGAAGCCCAAACAAATAAAAAAGAAGATATTTCTCAAATGTCTCAAGAACAAAATAATGATATAGCCTTCATTAAAACAACAGGTTCAATAAATATGATCACAGTTATCTACAGGATTCTCAAGATGTAGCTGGTCTTGAAGATATTTCACCCCTACAGATTACACAAACCTCTTCACCATTACATTTTACACAATCACCTCGTATAAGGCCACCCAAACCAGCAGTAAAAAYACAAACTCCACAGTATGAATCTTTTGGAAATATTGCACTCCAAAAATGTTTCGATATGACCAAAAAATTCCGGCCTATGACTGGAATCATTTTAACAGAAAAACAACAGTGTTTGGTAGATAATTTGTGGCATCTTCAAACCATGCCACAAGCATCAAATTTTAAAGTACAAATTTTAAATGCTTTATG